TTATGTGTATTCTTGTCGTTGGGATTACACTCTTTGCTGAACACCATTTTGGCCATCACTGGGAATATGAGATAAATGATGACCACATTGTAGACCACATAAATGGCCCAAAATATCCACACGACTATCACAGCAATCGTATCGCCGGTAAACACTAACATCTCATACAAACTATTGTCAGTTTATCTGATAATGTGGTCAACAGTTAACTGTCGGTTGAATTTTCATTAACCATTGGACTAAATATAAGTCATATTAATAACCAAAAGCTCGTTGTATTGTATTCTTAGAGAAAGTGTAACTTTTCTCACGATCTCTAAAGTGTTGACAATTGTTGTGATAATTCTCTATAAATAGAAGTGATATTTGAATTCAAATTTCATTGCAAACCATTTTTCAGTTGAATAGGAATTAAAATTTTGAATCAATAGTTAATCCAAACATGAATTCCATTGAATCGGAAGAGACGACAGATCTGTTGCCGAGACTGAGGTCTGGAGGAGAGGTTCAGGAGTCGAGGCGTCGCCGAAGAAGGAAATCCAAAGGAGGAGACGACGAGTCGTGCGGTCGGAGACGTCGCCGAAGACGCGGCGGAAGACGATCTCGCAGTCGATCCGGTCGTGGAGGCCGTCGACGAAGGAGTCGAGGCGTCGCCGAAGAAGGAAATCCAAAGGAGGAGACGACGAGTCGTGCGGTCGGAGACGTCGCCGAAGACGCGGCGGAAGACGATCTCGCAGTCGATCCGGTCGTGGAGGCCGTCGACGACGCAGAAGACGCTCTCGAAAGGGTGGCGACGAGGAGTGAAGACATGACCTCAGCTCTGGTTCTCTGATGAAGACATCGAAGAATTCTTTTTCCAAATTTGTAATCATTTCTAGAAATTTCTGTAAAATAAAAACCGTTTGAAAAAACAGACAATTTTTAAAATTTATTACCAATTTTGGGATCAAATGAAGTAAGTCTTTGAATATCTGTGAATAACATTCAAAGACGAAAGAGTTATAGTTTAAAGAGTAAATAGTTTTGCACACAATTAGTGGTACTTTATGTGAAAACCGTTACAAACCGTAACTCTTTTACACATTCACTATATTTTGGTTTTCATTAGTTTTGTTTCGAAGAATTTGGGATCAATTGAAGTATTGATTGATTTTATGGTGAAATGGATTCAAACATGAGTTCAAAGGAAGTGATGTTACGAATGATTGAGACAATTGGTCCCAAACTGTTCGAAGTGAACGGTTGGACAACTCTTTGGATCAATATATTGGAGACAATGCATAAGCAAAGTGTCATTCATTTGGTGGATATCATTGCAGACATGGATTGTCAGCGAAGGTATGATTTGGCAAAACGTATACTCAATGAAGGCTACGATGCAGTCATGGATCAGATGAATGGCAATACTGGGGGACAAACGGCTGACAAGGAATCAGATGAAGAGACAGTGATTGACGACACGGTCTATGAATCGGAAGACAATTCAGATTCAGAGGATGTGTTCGCCGATCCAGAGATGAGTCTGTCTTCTCGTAAATCATACGAAACAGCTTTGGATTCAATGGACACTCAAGAGTCGGACGAAGAGTCGGACAGAAGTAGTGGTAGTGAAGGGCCGACAGATCTCGAGGACAACACATCCGACATATCAATTGATTCGCAAAAAAGTGATGTCTCGCGAGTGAGCGATGGTCTGAGCGGTCGTATCCTCTCTCTGTCGACCATCACATCCAATGGTTCCCAAAGAAGTGCCATTCAGTCTCCATCACAATCTGACAGCAGTTTATCAGTCATGTCTAGCACTCAATAGTCTGAAAACTATCTTATTTTTCATTATTTTAAAATTAAATGGATTATTTAATTATATTATACTTTATTTAGCGTTTAGTAATTAACTTGTATTTTGTTTACAATAAAAACTAAAGAATTTTATGCATTAAAAACAAATCATTTATTCAAAATAATAGAAATTTTAATCACAAAAATCGCAAACATAAAAACATATGAAAACTTCATTCATAGCAAAAATGCATTTATAGCGAAATAAAGCAAATCATAAATTTATAACAATTACAATGTTTTTCTACATATAATATATGCGGGTTTGTAATTGAATTCACACGACTGGCCTAACTCTCCGTTCATCGCCCGCGAAATGATCGTAGGGTCGAGTTCTTTGCTCCGGGAGTTCCACCACTGGTCGGCCGACAGGTCCTGAAAACGACGCCTTAAATGCGGAGGAATGTCAGCCGTAGTCAAGCCATTCACGTAATAATAGCTGTGAAAGGTTTCCATCAGTGGTATTACCTCTTTAGGCAATTTATTGTAACCAAAATATAATGAATATTATAAATATCAATTGATGTAAAATTACATCAAATTTGTTTTATTTGCAAACTTACGCTCAATAAGTGAAGTGTCATTTATAATGTAATTTTGGTTCATTTCAGTCATCTCTATAGTAAAACCTTGTTTAGTGAACACATCCGTCCAATTGGACACCTGTTTGTCATAATCGGGTATTTTTATCCATTTCTCGCATTCACTCCTCAATTTTGGATTCAGTTTTGCACTCATATCGTGAATCAAGACAAACGAAGTGAAGGCATAGCTATTGTCGGCCATAAGTCGGCGCAAATTGTGGACAAATGTGGACTTGTTTTGGATCATCATTAAAGTGGAGTTCGAGAACACGAGAGACACCTTTCCCTCCAGCGCTCGGATATCGGCACTCAACTCATCCCAGGGTTTGCTTATGTCTTCCAATCGATAATCAATTGACGGTTTTGTATTGTTTTGTATCGAAAAGTCAATCATTTTTGTGTCAATATCTAAAGCAATGATTTGTCGGTGTTTTACACTTTCGGCCAACACTTCGGTCACATTTCCCGAACCCGAACCGATGTCCAGAATTATGTCGAAATGACTATAAATAATAAAAATGTTTATATCTATCGTAAAATATTTACAATATAGTACTTACGTATTATTTCCAGTGATTTCCAAAATATGCTCAATTAGTTTATCAGCAAAGATTCTGTGAGCTATATTAGCCGTGTTATAAACACGTGGCTTCATATCCATCTTAATTATGTTTGGTAATTACTGCTAACCTTTACTAATACAAGTAATAAAAATATTTGTTATATAAATAAATATATATTTAATTTTTAATAATTAATTATTAAAATTGTTAGGCATTTGGTAGTCATACGAGTGATAATGACTTTATGATCAAACCCTAATCCTATTTATACAAGCACATTTACAACAAGTATAAGTTATATACTTTAATTGAATTTTTAATTTACCTTTTTGGGTTGATTTACAAGCAAGACAATTTTAACACAAATTTCAATCACTAACAGTAACCTAACTTTGGAAAATCTGTGTTTATATAAACTTAAAATTTTAATTAATTGCGCAAGTATGCAATTAAATTTGATAAATTCATTAAAAAATTATTTTCTAGTTTATATTCATGACCACTGATTGGAAAACATATAAAATTTTGTTAATATAATAATTAATTATTTATTTTACTATAAATAAAATTTATATAAATATTATAAATTCATGTCGAATATAATTTATTTTATTTATTATCTTTTAAATACTTATATTGTCACGTATAAAAACTGTCCATTTGAATATTGTCATCGAAACAATCATTCAAAGGTGGCGCGTATTAATTGATTAGGGTCTGTCAGTAATTAAGTCGTTAAATAGTCTCAAAAGGTCAATCAGAGACGTTATTTATTCCTCATGAACAGTTTTTCAGTGACGAGTTCGTTTGATAAATAGTCTAACCTTAATTGAGAAAGATAACTCGAGTATGATTTAATTAGCTAAGCGGACAAGAGATGGCGAATAGGTTTGGGTTAATATGACATGAGTAATAGACACGGGCAAGCGTTGCGGTAATTATAATCGGATAAATG